TTCTCCATTCTTCAATGGAGCACAAAATGACAAAATAATCGCTAACACTTTTCAATATGGCGCAAATGTATGATGTCATATACTGTCCAATGTTTTGAAACGAATCACCAGTATGGCGTCGATTTATGACGTCATTTGCATTGGCCAGTACACTAGGTTCTATTTTGGAACATACCCTATAAGATGATATAATGATTTTTATTTTGGAACATACCCTATAAGATATATCCATTAGAGACGTAACCCGCAGCCAACGGTCACTTTGCTTGGCGTTGTATTTCGCTCGTTGACGCAGCAGGGTGAAGACCCCAACTACAGGACATTGAGTATTGTAATACTCCTGTAATTAATTTTTTCGAAAATTTCTGTATTAGTGTGTCAGACAGTCGTGGATTCGACTTCCTGTCAAACAAATTACATATTAATCCTTTGACCTCCAAACACATTCAGTCGGATACAAAAAGGTAGTGCTACTGTGTATGCATATATCCAAAAATGCCTTAGATTTTCTTTTGAATTTTCTCTAAAGTCGCCATTTTTATTCAAAATACGCAGTTAATCTGATATTTAGTGTATTCTGCAGCCTTTGAACATATATCCTCAATATTTTTTTTTAAATATAGATGCGTCGTCTGCTTTGAGGTCTAAGATGGTATGCCTCATTACCAGTATCGTCGCAGATTCTTTACATTCACTACAAGAATCACAGCAGTATTATTCTGCTGTTACACGCTGATATTTTGTGAGAGCGTGGTATTAACCGGGTCGAGCCTATCAATTTTAGTTTGCCAGACCTTAGAATTAATTTGCACTGTCTGGTTGCCAATAAAATAGGTCCTCATGCAGAATTATGTTGCTATTTTAAGCTGGTATTCCCTGCGTTCTAGTACTTTGAAGTTTATAATAGCTATCCTCGACTGTCTTTAATCTGTGCTTCATATTTAAATTTATCTAGTAAAGGCATATATAATAAAAGAAATTTTCTTCTCAAAAATTTGTTCTCAGAACAATAAGATCGCATATTTTTATAATGCTTAAAATGTATTGATGTACCTACAAGAAAGAATAAGTTGATTGATTGAGCAACTACGACTTTCATTTCGAATTCATCTATGTATTTTCTGCCAGCTGCGCAAGAAATAGCGCCCCAATATCGTGACATATTTCCAAATATATTTTAAAACAAGCCTAGGGTCAGATTGATGAGAATCTCCGTACTCTGTAATAAATAACGAAGTTAGAGTTGCCAATTGCACTACATTTTCTTAATTTTTTTCTCAACAGTTTGTTTATCCACTACTATGCCTTTTCAAAAATTACACCTTAAAAGATTTTTCCAATACTCACATTTTCGGCAGGCGGGTTCGCGAGCTTAGAAATTGGTTCAGCATTTTCGAACCGTTATACTACCTCGTTGTCGAAAGGTTATCGTGCCTCGTTGGTTGAAAAACACACTCGGTATCAAGCCTGCACGTGGTGCACAGCTTACAAAAAAATGTTTTTACATACCGCTTTCACCACTATCCTACTATACAAAATAATACTGTACTGTATTCACTATCTTTTTTTTGTATAAACGTCTAAAGGCTAAGAATATCTTTGATTTAGTAAAATATCTAAGTGAATACACCGAGGGAACTAAAACTTCCATTATATTACGGTTATTAAATGACGTATTCCCTCCTAATCTTACCAGTAATGCATGCCAGCTGGCGCATCCTTGAAAATCCCACATTCCAGCATTGAATTTAAAGGGTCTTTAATGTGTGTTATTTAAAAATGAGTATAGAATTTGTGGTACCATTACATTTTATAAAACTTTTATATTTGACGACTCTATGGTGCAGTGGCATATCATTGATTAGCGGCGTTGTGATACGTCGGTTCGAATCCCGCACAAACAATTATTTGTAATCCATACAAATATATGGATTACAAATAATTGTTCTGGATCTGGATATTTGTCCTTTTGCAATTTATGTATGTTAACTGCCACTATAATAAAACAGAAAATCCTAGTGCGGGGGCGATGATTTTTTCTATTATTACTTATTTATTTCTTTTTACTTATTTATTTTCACGACGTTGCCTTACTATAATTGGTAAAAAAATATACAACCCTAGATGAGTAGACAGATGCTCGGTCGTGCGTGCGTGTTTTTGTATTCAGTGTACACGTGAGCGCGATTTTTCCGTGCGTGAGTCGTGACAAAAGCACGAAACAGCCGGAAGGAAGTGCGGAATTTTTCTTTGGGCGGTGCCAAAATATCGTTAGTCGTAGGCCCTAATGCTACGTAATTTTGTAAAATGTGTCAGAGCTGTGTCATTATTCTCGGCAATTTTTTATTCATTTTATTTAAAAATAGCCTGGGAAAGTTTGATTCTTATAATAATTTCTTACATTTAGGCATATCCTACACATAACGTTTTTTCACGTGGTATAGCTACGCTCAAGCTATATTATCTTTATAACACAATGAGGTCAGCTTCACCGGGATAGAAACACGCTCTCACGGAATACCATACATACACCACTTTCACTTTTTTCACAATATTGCACACCTTAAAATAGTAGTCCTGTCAAGGTAATGCGACTTGCTCAAATAAAATCAAGTTTTTTTAAATCTTTGCATACATCAATATAAAGCCGTGGTAGCTCAGATCTGCCGTCATAATAGAGAAGGACGTAACTAACAAAAACGTAAAATGGAGATAAAAAATAAATAGATGAATTTTTCTTTCAGACCCTGCTGCGTCTAAAATACTTTAAAATGTATCAATATGAAAATTGAAATTGATTGTTAGTGACATGAAAATTTTAAAGACGAACTTTTTTTTGATAATTTGTTTATTTATTTAAATAAAACGGATTTTCCTTTTCATTTTAGCTTAAAAAATAATCCCGGTAACGCAAAAACTTCGATGGAAAGACGCATATAACTATTTGCGTCTTTCCAACCTAGTAAATAAAAAAACTGCCATTCTTTTAACATTTTTAAATATCTCGGAAAGTTAATTTGAAATTGAATGGACGCAAATGGTCATTTACTACTTTTCTTCTTAGTAAGTAGGTAACAAACAAAAAAGTAACAACCCGCAATAAAGGGGTATCATACCAGACTTACTACGATAAAAGGTGGAAAAACTTAAGAGAGTGGTAACATTAGTGAGGTTTTTTTATTATTAAATGCATTGTATTAGAATTATCTAAACGTACTCAGTTACATTATGTAACACTCATAAAATCACTCTTTAAAATATACCTGTTCCAAGACGTGCTAAATAAGAATAATAGACAAAAAACAATTAAAATTTTGTTTATTAAGAAAATTAAAAAACTAAATATTTACGAATAGGTCACATCAGGGTATGACTAATAATCACAAAACCAAAAACTTAAACACAAATTAGTTTCAAAACATTTAAACAAAATAAATACCTCTAAAATTTAATAATTTACTTATTAATTATTTTCATATCATAGTTTTATTGTCATTGCAACAAATAAATCAAAACTAATAGTTTCCCTTCAGTGTTTTTCTAAATTACCTTAAATTTTGAGTAATTTCAATTACATGATTAAAATATACTAAAAGCTATATCAGTCTAAAATTTGCTTTCACAGCATCAAAACCATTATTATACTTTTTCGTACATTTTAAATGTGCAACGAGTGAATTCAAATTATTCTTAAATTTCTTTTAAACAGTGTTTAATTAAATTATTATATTTAATTTTTGAGCAACAATCACTTTTGTTAACATCAAAAATGAAAAGAACACAAAGGAAATTTATCCTTAATAACTAAAAACAGACTAAAGGCCTTTTTTATTTCTCTCTACCACACACTTAGTCATTCTGTCAGCTTCTTTCTTGTAATAAATACAATGGAATAGAAGTATAAAAGATATTTATCACTTAAAGCTAAACTCAGATCGAAGCTACCCTTGGCCCTTTTTGAAATGTGAGATCAAAATACCCTTAAATATAAAAATAAAAAGAAGATTTGTACGTTCAGTCTTCATAATTCCTTGTAAAATCCACCGCATCATCATTCACTGGCATATTTTGCCAAAACATTCTTCTGTTTTCCGGCATGAGTAGCCCTAATTCCCTAATTATTTTCATTTTTCGTTCAGATGTAATACCCCTGAAAGTAAAATTTTGTTTGGGAGCAGGTATTCCATTTTTAATATTCTTTACCCTTAAGAAATCCAGTGAATGTTCATCACCATCGAAATTTGTTTTATAAAAAGCTCGTATTGATAACCTCTGCGAAAAGTAATTTGGCACGTATCATTTAAATATGCCCGTGGATTCGAGTTTTGTAACTTGTACCCAGAAGAGCAGTCATCAAATTTATAAAAATCCTCCACATTCATTTTTTTACTGTAATAGATTTATAGTTAGTGCTTAAAACAGCTTGATAAAAGTCTTCGAAATCATAAATTCTTTTTTTTATTTTTCATAGCCATTTCTACTCTATGATGAAATTCATCGGCAGCCATAAATGTGTGACCAACTTGAAGATATTTGAATGTAACAGTTTCAAATGAAACTTCAGCTCAATTAATGAGGTATAACATATATGAAAATAGAGCCCAATTTTTATTCTGAGCAGCGCAATTATCCAGCCAAAGCACTAAGTGCTTCATGTCACGATTTTGTAAAAAAAAATGCTCTAAAGCAACTTACTATGTCATCTTTCTTTCGACCAGATATAGTTTCATGCCAAAGAGCTGAAAATATTTGAAAATTTAAGGTTGTTTTCTTTTCTCCGATTGGTACGAAAACTTTCATTGAAAAAAATTAAGCGTGGATAGAACATCACTGCTTTAAATTGCTCCATGCGCGGCAACATTATAACTTTCTGTAAATCAACGGCGAAATATGCAGTATCAGAATCACCTTTCATATTATTTTGTACGTCAACATTACGCTGGTACTCGGATCGAGCCAAAATGTACTTTTCGTGGTGAATCTCATAATTTTTACATTCCTCACAATTTCGGTGACGTATTATGAATCAAGAATTTTTGACATAATTCACATTCCTCGTGACTTAATTTAGCAAAAGATATATTGCGATCTTTGACGATCTTACGGTAGTACTCGTATGAGATCGGTTTCTCCTGGTCAGTGCAGTGGGTCTCACAATAATTACTATACATTGCTCGCACTGTAATATCTGAAGACAAGTACCTTACATTGGGAGCATGCTCACGTCTATAATGCGATATCGTAGGATGAAATGATTCGACATGCTCTACTACATTTTCATTGTTAATTTTCTTGGGATTTGTATTCAAGCCCCTTTTATCCACATCTCCTTCTTTCATTTTTAAGGAATTTCTGGCAACTTTATCATTTTTCCTATTAAAACCCAAAGTTTCTAAAAAAAAATGTCTTACAGACATTAAATTTAGTACCGGCACTATCCAGTAAAAAGTAAGAAATAGTATTTTGTCTGTTCAGTATTCTTTCACCTAGTTTGGGCCTCTTTGGTCGCGTCATAGAAGTATTTTGTCTTATAAAAATTCTTTGTTCTGACCACGTCATATTTGTAAAAAAATATTATTTTCTTTGCGCCGGTCTTCTGAAATATATGTGCTACATTTTTTTTGCAGGATTCAGTACATCCCTTTTTTTAATTGGTACTTTTCCGTTCTCTTCTTCAATATTTTAATTTGTTTTCTGGTTTTTAACGACATCTCATATCTCTTTCTCTTTCTTATAGTTCCTTTTTTTAGTATATAATAAATCATTTTCTTCCTGCTCTGGTGAGTCTGGGATTATTACATTTTGACTATTATCAATAAATTCTTCCTGAGAATCTGTATCGGAATCGGAGCGGTTTCTTTTGTAATCGGTAGGCGGTATATAATATTTGTCTTTGACAGAATCGTCAGAGTCAAAAATATATTGATCTGAAACTATTGGGGATAGTTTAGGAGATTCCTCCTCACAATAATAATTAAGCTCAGATGTCTTTAATTCTCTACTAATCTTTTTTATGCGATAATAAATTTTCTTTATTTTCGATAGTCTCTTCAGCTGTTGGAAATTTATTTAAATCATCTTGAACAATGTATCTGGTCGGTAAAAGCAACTCTGAATCTCTGACATTTTCGTTCTGCATCTGACTCAACAGTATCAATTCATTATCTGATTTTTTCTACTTCATTTTCTGCTGAATTTAGCGGATTTGACCCTGTATTACATTAGTTGCCATATTTAATAGTTTTAAAGATCTGCCTTTCTTCATTTTAGAAATCTGAAAATAAAATAAATGTAGAATAATTAAAAATTGGTAGATAGTTTTTTTGGTAAAGTGACAGACAGACAAAAATTCTTAAAACTATAGATTAAACCTATGTATCGATAATAATGACTATTTCAATAGGATTTTCCAAAAAATATTTAATGTACAGATTCGACTCAGTTTCAATTTATATGCATAGATAATATGTTCAATACGTTTAACATTCTTACCTTCTTTCGTACCGAAACATGACGTGATCACACTCCGAACGACTTGGACGCAACTGACGATACATTCCTGCACTTCCCCCCTCTAACCGCCAGGATGTACCCGAATACTTAATAGAAAAGACCCAAGTGGCCACTTCTGTCTTTTCAACTTAGAAGTTAAATAAATAATATAATCTCAAGCCTATAAAAAATGTCGGAATGTCATTTACGTCTTTTCAATTACAAAGTTATTTAATCATTGATGCTTAAAGCGACGACATTTGCGCCTAACTTATTATGTTAATCACTGTGAATACTAAAATGATTGGACGTAAGAAACCAAAAGCGTCTTTTTATTTTAAAACTATTAACTTATGTCTTTTCATTTAAGTAATCGATGCAAATATTGTTAAAGATGACGGAGCAACTGGTTAAATAAGTCTTTTCTTTTATGTTGAATTTGAATACGTCTTTTCTACTTAAAAATATCATTTTTGATCAGCAGTTACGTCTAAAACTCTTACGGTATTTTCTAAAATATTGATATTTTAGAGGATTAAAAAAATTGAGTAGATGCGCCGTTTTATCCTGAGTCGAATGGTATATTCAACTCATTTTGTCAACAAATGTTAGATGTGCCCTTTCTTCTTATGACGGCAGAGATGGTTAGCGCTGGCTGTAAATTTCGCAGCACGCGAGCAAACCGGGTTTGATCCCCACCGACACCAATGAAATTATTAATTGCAATTTTAAGTGCTGATTCACCACGTACTCGACGATGAAGGAAAACATTGTGAGGAAACCTGCATGTCTGAGAAATAAGAAAAAAAAATAATTCGAAGACATGTGATGTTCGCCAACACGCATTGGGGCAGCGTGGCGAACTATTCCTTGCCCTAAATCCCTATCAGAAATGAGAGCAGGCCTGTGCCTAGCAGTGGGACGTATATAGGCTGTAACTTTACTTTACTATACATCAATATTAAGAAGAAACATATCAATAAGCCTAATGCTTGAATAAAATTTTTGTGATTTCTAAGGAATACACATTCCTTCACGAAGTTTTTTCTTTATCGATGACAAAATTGAAATCAAAATATTGGGTCATTACATATGAAATTAACGTTTTGTCTTTCGTACACTTGGATCCAAAATATCACCTCTTTGGTTAAGAATTCTAAATTCAAATTTATAAATTCACTTAGCTGGTCTATTTTTGCTTTGAAAACAGTAATTCATTTGTTTTTCCCTCATTATTCTTTTCTTTGGCGTCGCCTATCACCGCAGAATGGAAAACATGAAATATCTGTATATTTACGAGTACGAGTTCTACCGTGGAACCAGTGCTGCAGAAACAGCTCGAAGGATTAATGATATGTACTGCGCTGGTGTCGCAAAAGAAAGCACGGTACGTTTTTGGTTTCAAACGTTTTCGTTCTGGAAATTTCGACCTTCAGTGGACGGCCGGAGACCAAAGTAGTAAATGAAGAATTAAAGGCTATTGTGGTTAGTAGTACCGTTGTCTTTAGTATGGTGAGTGTAGAGAACCGGAGACCCTTTTTACTAGAATCGAGATATTTTATCTTAGTCCTCAGGGGTCATCTGTTTTTTATTAGTTATCAAGGAAAGATGTAGATGTCTATGAGCCACAGTAACCACTTACCATCTGGTGAATTGTGTACTAGTTTTCTAATATTAATATATTATTCTATGAAAAAATAACTTTAGTAACCCTTTAACCACTCCTTTAAATGCTCGTATTAGACGTGGTTCACGACATATGAGTGAATTATTTATCAGGAAAATTTTGCTGTCCATTTCCTGTTTCAGTTTCCCTCTGTAGCCCCTTACGGCACCCACGGAACGATGTAGGGTAGTGGATGTTCCCACACTAACATTACACGAATCTTACTTGATATTAATTTAGGTTTTTTTCTTAAACATTACACATACGCGAAATATAGTGCGGAACCTTACTGGATGGAGTGACGACCTGGTGGCAAGTGATGCATGATGGATGCAGGTGGCTCAGGGTCGTGCTTTGTGTAGTTCCTTAGGGCATGCTTTTGTTCAGCAGTGGATTTGTGATGGGCTGTGATGATGATGATAATGGTGAATGATTTACGTATTTTTTATGTTTTAAAGTTTTTTAAGCATCTTACATTCTTAGAACCAATGTTTAATACGTTGGGAAATACCTTAAAAATTATATTGAATTTATATAGTTTACAAAACATCCAAAAATTTTCTTTTCCTTTATACGGGAGTAATTTTTAAATATTTTTAGAATACGCCTTCATTTTTCGCTTGTTTCGAAAACTACGTCCTACTACGAGTGGATTTTATTCTGCTCTTTTTAGGCCTCACTGGACCAAAATAACTTCAATAAAATAAGTGAACTGCTGCTGCTGAGCCTTTTTAAGTTTGACTGGAATCGTCCTATTTACAATTGTCAATGTGGTGACTTTTTTTAAATGAACAATGACAGTGTTACCATTTATCATACGAAATACAGACCAGAAACCCAAAATATATCGGTAACGGGTAAGTCATAGCTCGATTTAGTTTATTCGAAAGTGTTGAATGTTCATCAATTTAACAGTAAAAGCAGTGGTTGAGTGTTTGATTTCGAAACTGCGGAGCGGGCTTAAATCCTGCATGCGACAAGTTTTAGTGTGGCTTACAATTCGAACATGCACTCGTACATGTCCCAGGGGTTATTAGAAACCGTGTATTAAATTATAATAACCCTTTTCATATTGTTTTTGTTTAATACATTTTATATAGTTGTTGTAACGAAGCCATATACAAAAAAAAAATATAAACATTGTTGCGTAATAGTTGTTCCAATTTCAGAAAAGTGCACCGAATATCTGCACGTAAATACTTTTGAGCCGGGCGGTAGCAGGTCGCTATCTTAAATGTACCTGCACTATGGTTAAAATTGCCGACGGTGTATTGAAATGTAGTCATCGGAATGCACCCACTTAAATAAACTTTCTATATTTCTTGCATTATTGAGCGCACCGCCTAAATAAAAAAAATGTGTTGTTATTTTTGTTTGCTAAAAATAATCAAGTGGTAACGCCGGCCAATCTCAACGGAGATTAGCCAGGCACAGGATGAGGATGCCCAAACACAGGAGCAATCTTGATTTCTTCACTCTTATAGTCGGATAGGACGGCGATCTGACACGACCAAAGAGAGATCAGGTGCAGGACCAACGGCTTTATATGCTTCCAAGACACAGCAGTGAAACACCGCCAACTCAATGGCTTTAGGCTGCTATTAGGAGATTCATGACAGAAAAACCGATTTACGGATTTTAGTCCGACTTGGTATTCAAGCCTTGTTAGATCGTCGAGAAATTTAAAAGTTAAGATGATGATTAGAATAATCGAAATACTCAGTAGGCGAATAGTAGATCGCAATCGAATCGACTGCGGTCTGCAAAATTTAACGTCTCGCTTGCACTAGATGGTGATATCGTTATCTTTTGGATTCCATGAGATTTTTGTGAAATTTTCTATGGTGTAATAGCTAGAAAAAAATTACAGCCTTTTGAAGGTAAACTGTTGCAACTCTTCCCATTTCCAAGTGGATTATGTATATTTCTAGATGCTACCATTCAAACGCGCCGGTCCCGAAGAATGAATAGTCCACTGCTAATGGACTTGTAACGACGTGTTTATTATTTCATTAAAACTTACGTAATGCGCTCCGCTGCGCTCTTGAATAATTACATCGCTCCTTTAAGAATAAGAATGAGCGGCAGATAGAATGAAGTAGGGGCAACGTTGTTGACCGGAGCGAATAGCGTTTATCAGTTAGAAGTTTTCAGGTAACAGTTAAAAATGGAGTTTCGCTA